CACACACATCGCTTCAACGTTGGTTCAACGTTGGCATGTGATTGGGACCCATGGCCGAACGTTGACCCCCATGGCTGAACGTTGACCCCAATAGTGCGCTGTGGTATCGTAGCGCTGGGTCAAATGCTAGCTCCCTCGCCTGGTACGGAGAAGGTAGTGGATTATATCCCGACCCTGACGATGCTTGTTGCACATTTGGAGTTCACGTGGCTCTCTTTCTTTCTCTCTCCCCGCGGTGGTCGCGTGGATTTTTCTCCGGGTCCTCCGATTTTTTTTCCCCTCCATACTTAGAAACGTGCGTTTCGATCATTTGACTTCCGTAAAAATAAAAATCCCACGTGTGATAGTCCCTCTCTCTCCCTAAACTCCCCCGTTAACACAACTGACGTGAAATTTCGATTTAAAGCTTTCGTGACTGCAGGGATTCATCTTCTTGTTTCTTTGGGCAAAGTCACGTAGAAGGGAAATAATAAATAATAAGAATAAAACAAAATGAAATACAATTCTCACGACGTTTCGGCCACAACGCAAGCAGCCGTCCTCAGGTGAAGAACAGGTCTGTCGGAAAGACAGCGTCTGAATGACCTGTTCTTCACCTGATGACGGCTGCTTGCGTTGTGGCCGAAACGTCGTGAGAATTTTATTTTATTATGTTCTTTTTATTATTTCCCTTCTACGTGACTTTACCGAAAGAACCAAGAAGACAACTGACGTGCTTGCGTTCGTGGATGGAATTCCTTTCCAGCTCAGACCCCGCTGCTTGCCCATCGCCACATAAATAACCTCTTGTTGTAACAGCTCTCTCGCTGGTCCAGCAGTTCCACTGCTGGATTATATTTTTTCCTACCTGAGGACGACCGCCTTGTGTTTATTTTTATTATTGTATTACTTCCCTTCTACGTGACTTTACCGAAAGAACCAATAAGATGACTCCCTGCAGCCACGAAAGCTTTAAATCGAAATTTAACGTCGTGATGTATTTTATTTTCTACCCACGTGACTTTACCGAAAGAACCAAAGAGAATGGATTCCTGCAGTTACGAAAGCTTCAAATCAAGATGGACGTGATAATAATCCGCTTTGATAAGTTGTCATGTGTGGCCACGTCGCCTCAATAAGAGCTCATGGCTCAGTGTGCGGCTTTACCTGGCAAAAATAATAATAATATGCTCTTTCTAGATTTGAAGCTTTCGTGACTGCAAGGATTCATATTCTTGGGTTTTTTCGGTAAAGTGACGTAGGTATAAAATTAAAATTAAAATTAATAAAAGTTAAATGAAAGTAAAATAAAAATCACGACATTTCGGAGGCAACACAAGCTTCCGTCTTCAGTGGAACCGTCACAGCACGATTGCTGTATCAAGGTAAATGAGAAATTGATACAGCAATCGTGCTGTGACGGTTCCACCTGAAGACGGAAGCTTGTGTTGCCTCCGAAACGTCGTGATTTTTATTTTACTTTTATTAGTTTAAATTTGTTACCTACGTGACTTTACCGAAAAAACCCAAAAATATAATATGGTTCTGCAGAATGAAAATGACCAAGTCACTGAAATTTACGGGAGGATATTGCTGTTCAGCTTGGCCATGCGTGTCTTTCACGCGGGAGTGTGATCGAGTGGCGTTTAAAGTTTTAAAAGTGGATGTCAGTGGGTACAGACTGATGATGGCGATGGTTTGACTCGCAGATGTCCTCAAGTGCTCTATGCTTCTGGTATTAACGAGGTTGCAACTCCCAATGGGATAAATGCGTACGAGTAGCTTGGGGGCGGGGCATGGTAGCCTTGAGAATGATAGAGTTTGACTATCTTCTTGGTTCTTTCGGTAAAGTCACGTAGAAGGGAAGTAATAAAATAATAAAAATATAACATAATAAAATAAATAATTCTCACGACGTTTCGGCTACAACGCAAGCAGCCGTGTTCAGGTGTTGTAGCCGAAACGTCGTGAGAATTATTTTATTTTATTGTGTTTTATTTTTTTATTATTTTATTACTTCCCTTCTACGTGACTTTACCGAAAAAACCAAGAAGATGAATCCCTGCAGTCACGAAAGCTTTAAATCAGAGTTTGACTAACTTCACGTGTTAGTATCATCTGGAACGAAAAGTGCAGGTCAAGCCTTTGGACTCCGTTCAAATTTCACAGCAAGATGTGGTACACACACTCGAGCGTGCCATCACGGCATCGGTTACGACTACACTGCAACTGATGATCCTAAATTATAGCGACTCCTGTACGCAATTGTCGTGCAGAAGGACAGGGCTACATTGTCAATGGTGATTCAACACGACAGCAACTCCGTACCAAACTGTCATAGAACAGGGCTACACTGTTACTGATGATTCCTAATGATGGTGAACCCATGACAAAGTTATCACGTGGCAGCAAGGGTACACTGTCACTGATGATGCCTAATGATTGTGAAACCATTACACAGTCTAATATAATAATAGGGTTTCCCCTTTTTTTCTGGCTACAAAACTGAAACCTTTTACGAGGATTCATGTCTGCATTAACCACAATACTTGCAGTCAAAATGCAAACAAAAACACACTCTGATAATATATGCATTGTCCTTGAAACTGATTGGTCCACACCAGGGACAGCTTTCTTTTGAGCCTCGACCCAATTGGTGCTCGACCAGAGGACGCCAAAAGGCGTACAGCTCAAAGACAATGCAACATCAAAGTAATGAGAACTCGGGGTGAGCATCTACATCATTAGACCTCCTTTGCCAGTACCAAAATATAATAAAGGATTTTCCCCTTTTTGCAGACATGAATCCTCGTAAAAAGGTTTCAGTTTTGTTGCCAGAAAAAAGAGGAAACCCCTATTTTATAATTTGGTACTGTCAAAGGAGGTGTAATGACATTACACAGTCGTCATGTGTGTCTGCAACTGTCACCGATGATTGTGAAACCATTACACAGTCGTCACGTGTGGCTGCAACAGGGCTACACGATCACTAATGAGCTCTCAATATGCCGAATCCTGCACCCAATTGTCACGCAAGCCAACAGGACAATGCCACACTGACGATACCCGACAATGGTGAAACCATCACGCGGTTGTCATGTTGGGATGGAGGCGAGGGGAGGGGCGGGGGGGGGGGCTTTGCAAGACCGCACGATCACTGATGAGCCCAAATGCAAGTGAAGCCAGTTTACAGTTAGAGCGACTACACGTTCATCACGTTGATATTAAAGCGCCTTGCACATTATGGGCTCATATGCGTGGACACAAATGGCATGACGATATCAAAAGCGCGTATTGGTGTTTTTTTTATAGTAGTGAACTCTTTCTATATTCTCGATATAATTGAAGAAATGTGAAGTCGAAAGGGTCATCGATGTTGTTCGTTTGCTCAAATGGACACTTCGAGGTGGTGCGCATCTCCTGTTGTTTTACAGTCCTAAGCCAGTGCTGGGAATCCCACATTCCACGGGGAAATTACTTCTTACCAAACTGGTACCTTTTTTATCGACCCTAGAGGGCTGATGGGCCGGGTCAGCCCCCGTAACTCGCCATCTTCTGAGCGCGAGCTGGCTCGCACTGCCGCTGAGCCACATGACCAGTCAAATAACAATAATAAAAATGACAATGTTATAATTGTTTTTTTACCCTTTTATCTGGCAACAAAACTGACACCTTTTTTACAAGGAGTCATGTTTGCATAGACCACAATACCTGCAGTCATATGCAAACAAAAACATAGCTCTGATAATGTATGCACTGTCCTCGAAGTTGATTGGTCCACATCCGAGACAGCTTTCCTTAGAGCCTAGTCTCACATGGTGTTGGACCAGATGACACCAAAAGGCGCACATCTCAAAGACAATGCACCATCAGAGTATGAGAGCTCGGGGTAAGCATTTACACCATTGGAACCTCATTTGCCAGAAGAAAAAATATGATAATTGTTTTTTAACCCTTTTATCTGGCAACAAAACTGACACCTTTTTACAAGGAGTCATGTTTGCATAGACCACAATACCTGCAGTCATAATGCAAACAAAAAACATAACTCTGATAATGTATGCACTGTCCTTGAAGTTGATTGGTCCACACCCAAGACAGCTTTCCTTAGAGCCTAGTCTCACATGGGTTGGACCAGATGACGCCAAAAGGCAATCTTCAGAATACTGCCTCGCAGGGATAGCGTACACTCCTCCACAAGAGATCAAACTCACTCGGCAAGGGGACAGCGCCAACATCATGTGAAGTAACCATCGTCGTCGTCATCATCAACAAGCCAGGAGCTATCCACTGCTGGATGAAGGCCTCCGCCAGTCACCGTCGCCTCGCGGTCCATTTGCCGACCGAACATCCGTGGGTCTCTGCCTCCTGCGCTTGGAGCCGAACTCATTTGCCTCATCTCCGCAGAGGTCGTCCTCTTGGGCACGTCGTGAAATAACAATGCAGCAGTAGTAGTCACAATAACAACAACAACAACGTTAAAAACGATACCTCGAAAAGCGCTCGTAAATTACATCCGACATTCAAATCCAGAGACCGATTATGGTTTGGGAGGGCTGGTTGATGGGGGGTCAACACTCACCGACTGATTACACTGTTCAACACACTTTTTCTGGCATAAGGTATTCCAACGGTTTTAAGGTAATTTTGGGGTGCTGATTCCAAATCTGGCATCGGTTTTTGTCTATCACGTCAGGTTTTTGAGATATCAAATATTGCATTTTCAATAAGAACTGCGGAAGAAAAATATTAAATAATGTGGATATCTACATAAAATTATATTATAAACACACTATCCTAAAAATACACCACCATATTTTAACACTAAAGCAGTCACTGACTCGCAACAACAGAGTTAATTTCGGGTAAAATCAATGAAAATGGGGTATGCCGATAGCATAAAAATGAGATGTGATAGAGCAATCTGAGATCAGATTTAGAATTAGCACCCTGGAATTAGTCAAAAACAGCTGCAAAAGTCTAGGCAAGAAAAAAATGTTTTTTTTTTGTGTTGACCAGTGTAATTCTATTCACTCACGGTCCCAACAACACTCACCACGCCGAAGGGTGTCGCGGCGGCGGCTTCGTTAATGACCGATAGCAAGTGAGGGTGGGTGGGTTGGTGGTGGTGGTGTGGTGGGGAGCCAGAGCCAACTCAACGATGGACACCACGAGAGGCGAGGTCAAGAGGTCAAGGCGACTTCTATCCGTCGGAGGACGGCGGAGTGACCCATCCGTATTTCTCGTGGGTCTTCACGAGGCTACGGAACGTCGCATGCGCCTCCTTTCTCGTGAACGCCTTCTTCTTGCGGCTGATTCGCCCCTGGGAGGCGGGGGGGAGGAGGGGGTGGAGGGTGGCGAGACAAAGAAGAAAAATCACGCACACGCATGGCACATCTACACTATTAAAGTCAACATTTTTTATTTTACGAGCTAAGGCCCACTGAACTATATCAGCGACCTGGCCACAGATGATAGCCCAACCACGTGACTTGTCATCACGTGGAAATTTAGCAGCCAAATCACTCGAAACGCGTTGACGTGGATTCTAGATGTGTTGGGAAAACCCGGAGGACCTGGAGAAAAAGACCACACGACCACTGGGTAAGAGACACGCAATAAATAAACTTCTGCAAGACTCTACATATCTTCACACTTACCTTCCCGTAGAATCTAAAGGAGATATTTTGTGTTATTTTTTTTTAAAGCACACGTGTAGTAGCTACACGTGTAGTAGCTACTACACATGCAGCTACTGCATGTGTAGCTACATATGTAGTAGCTACTACATGTGTAGTTCCTACATGTGTAGCTACATATGTGCAGTTCCTACACTTATAGCTACTACACGTGTAGTAGCTGCATGTGTTGTAGCTACTACATGTGTAGTAGCTACTAAATATGTAGTAGCTACTACACGTGCAGCTACTTTGCCTAATATGATAATCCGCACTGGCAGGAATCGAACTCGGGTCGCAGTGCGCTAACCACCGCGCCACCGCCCCTCATGAAATCCCACCACCAAACCTTGACACTTGCAACCTTTTAGTTTATTGTTTGGTCGTTTCATCATTCTAAATGTGCAATCTGTGTCATGAATCGCGGTGTCCGTTTGGACCGTGGCAGAGCAGTGCTACCCTCCCCGTGTTAGCGAACGGTCTGCAGAAGAGGATAACACAGAACTACATCTGTGATGCCTGCAAGTGTCACCTCTCATCCACCACCACCACCAAGATCTCCTGCATTGCCTGTCACAGATTATTGGGGCAAGTGCTGCTAGCGAGCACCTATGGATGCCGGCACGGGCACACGAGGGGGTGGGTGGCCAGCAGCCACGCCCGGCCGCCTTTGTCTCCCCAGTCGTGATGTCTACACACCGCACCAGGTACTCAATTAAGGCTGAGTCGACCTAGGAGAGGCCCGGGACCGGTTCAGATAATCGTCACTGGTGGTGTTGGTGGCCGTGAGCAGCACAGAGTGCTCACCGCTACACTGCCACTCCTAGGTCGACTCAGCCTTAATTGAGTACCTGGTGCGGTGTGTAGACATCACCACTGACACTCACCCACAGCGCACCACCAACAACTGCCATTCGCCACTAAGTGGCGCTTGTGCCAGGCTAGGTGCACGTTGAGGCCACGTGAAGTGTCGAACGCCCGTCGGCAGGAGGTCACGGGGCAGACCCAGCAGGTGCCACGGGTCGACTGACTGAGATGACTGAGATGACCGGCCGATGCATTGCACCACCTCCACGCGAACCACCACCACCACAACCACCACGATCACCACCCACCACCACCACCACCTCCCACCACCACCACGACCACCACCCACCACAACCACCACCTCCCACCACCACCTCCCACCTCCACAACTTCCCACCTCCACCACCACCATCACTACCCACCACCTCCATCCGAACCATCTCCACCCGAACCATCACCACCCACCACCACCACCACCCACCACCACCTACATCACCACCACGCACCACCTACATTACCACCCACCCTACCCCCCTCACCCACCCAACCACCCCCCCTCACCCACCCCCCTCACCCACCCCCCCCCCTCACCTGCCCCTTCACGAGGCTGGCGGCGAACTGCCTTACGAGCGCCTCCACGGTGTAGGCGCTGGACCAGCCCTTGGGCGTGAGCAGCTCCATGCAGATGGCGCCGCCGTCGAGCACGAAGCCGTTGTCGATGCGCGGGCTGAGCACGCGCATGAAGGGCGGCGAGAAGGGGAAGCTCTCGGGGAAGGTCAGGTTGAGGAGGACGCCGTCGGCGCCCGCCTCGCGCAAGTCCTGCCACAGGGCCGACTCGAGGTCGATCTGCCGCAGGGTGACGTTCCACTCGAAGAGGCTCTCGCCCACGAGCTCCACGCTGAGCACCTCGTGGCCGAGGCGGCTCAGCTCGGACAGCTCCTTCATGAGGCGGCGGGCGCGCACCTGGCGGCAGTGGCTGGAGCTCGCGGCTGATGATGCTGATGCTGCCGCGCGCGGATGCTGCTGCTGATGATGGTGCTGCTGATGGTGCTGATGATGATGCTGCTGCTGCTGATGATGCTGCTGATGATGATGATTTTGCTGCTGCTGCTGTTGCTGTTTCTTGGTGTCCGAGGCGCTGTCCTTGGTACCGGAATCGTTGAGAACGCCCGCGAGATGCTGCTGCTGTTGATGCTGCTGATGATGCTGTTGCTGCTGCTGATGCCGCTGTGCTCCGCCGGTGCTGCTGCTGCTGATGCTGTTCGCCCTCAACACGTCCACGCTGACCATGCCCTTCCTGGACACCTTCGGGCTGCGCGTCACGACGGGCGGACGCAGGCGGCTGAAGCCGATTTTGCGCAGGAGGGTGGCCATTTTCGTTTAACGCAAACACGTCTGTGTGTGTGTGTATGTGTGTGTGCCGGATTTTAATTGTTTAAACGGGAAAACAATTAGATACCAGTTTCTGCTGTACGCCGCGTACGTGTGTGTGCGTGTGTGTGTACGTGCGTACGTATGTGTGCGCAGTGTGTGTACGTGCGTACGTGCGTGTGTGTGTACGTGTGTGCGTGTGTACGTGTGTGTGTGTACGTGTGTGTGTACGTGCGTGTGTGTGTGTGTACGTGTGTGTGTGTGTACGTGTGTACGTGTGTGTGTGCGTGTGTGTGTGTACGTGTGTACGTGTGTGTGTGTGTACGTGTGTACGTGTGTGTGTGCGTGTGTGTGTGTACGTGTGTACGTGTGTGTGGTGCGTGTGTGTGTGTGTGTACGTGTGTGTGTGTGTACGTGTGTACGTGTGTGTGTGCGTGTGTGTGTGTACGTGTGTACGTGTGTGTGTGGCTTCCGTGTCCTTGCGGTGTCCAGCGCGCGCCGTGTGAATTAGATTTGGGGGTCGCGCATCTTGAATAATGGAGCGGGCGGGCGCCACTGAATGTTGCAGCGATGGCGACCCCACGCGGAGCTCGGCGACACACACAGACCCCTCCCTCCTCCTCCTCCTACCCACCCACCACCACATGTCACTCCCACCCACCATCGCCTCCCACCCTCCCTCCTCCTACCCACCCACCCACCACACATGTCACTCCCACCCACCATCTCCTCCCACCCTCCCTCCTCCTCCTCCTACCCACCCACCACCACACATCTCACTCCTCCTCCCACCCACAATCTCATCCTCCCCCCACCCACCCACCACGGCATACATCTCACTTCCACCCACCATCTCCTTCCCCCCTCCACCCACCCACCATGGCATAGAGCTTACGCCCACCCACCATATCCCCCCACCCACCCACCTACCACAGCATGCATCTCACTCCCATCCGCCATCTCCTCCCTCCCACCCACCCACCACGGCATACATCTCACTCCCACCCACCATCTCCTCCCACCCACCTCACACACCATCACACTCACACCCATCACTCCCCTCCAACCTCACCCCCATCACACCCATCACTCCCCTCCAACATCGCCGCCCACGTCACACCGTCACACTCCCCCGCCCGTGACTCGCTGGCCCCAATCCACCACAACCACTCATCACTGCACCCCCCGTGTCTCTCCCAGGTAACAAACCTCGCAGGCGGGCGGCGCTGCAAACCTACTTGCTGTACTGGCACAGCCCCTGCCGCCTTCCGCGCGAACCCCAGCGGGTCGGGTGCCTTCCTCTGGCACACGCTGTGACAACTCCCATCTCAGCGTGACCCACCAACCCCGCCCTCAAAGCTGCCGAGCGAGGTGACCCTGCACCATTTAAAATTGATCGCGGCTGTAATTCCATCCGTGGTGTCTGCCCGACTCCCTTGGGCTCTTGAAGGCTGCCTCCGCCCCACTCCTGCTCGTCTGGGCGCGCCGCGGTGGCTAGGAGATGTTAACTACCTCGCCTGGTACGCAGGAGGTCGTGGGTGCCGATCCCGACCCTGACGCCTGCTGCTGTATATTTGGAGTTTGCGTGTCTCTCTCTCATCATCACGGTGGCTAGGATATGTTAACTACCTCGCCTGGTACGCAGGAGGTCGTGGGTTCGATCCCGACCCTGACGCTTGCCAGAGGTCGCGATCGGGTACCCAATACCCGTACCCTACCCGATATCCGGCTACCCGTACCCGGCCAGGTACCCCGTTTGCGACCCTGGTGCGGCCGGGTACGGAATCAAACCCCGTTTGCGACCTCTGACGCTTGCTGCTGTGTATTTGGAGTTTGCGTGTCCTCTCTCTCATCATCATCACGGTGGTGAGATGTTAACTACCTCGCCTGGTACGCAGGAGGTCGTGGGTGCGATCCCGACCCTGACGCCTGCTACTGTATATTTGGAGTTTGCGTGTCTCTCTCTCATCATCATCACGGTGGCTAGGAGATGTTAACTCCCTCGCCTGGTATACAGGAGGTCGTGGGTTTGATCCTGTCTCTGACGCCTGCTGCTGTATATTTGAAGTTTGCATGTCTCTCATCATCATGATCACGGTGGCTAGGAGATGTTACTACCTCGCCTGGTATACAGGAGGTCGTGGGTTCAATCCCGACCCTGACGCCTGTTGTATATTTTAAGTTTGTCATGTGTCTCTCTCTCTCTCCCCACTCCTTCGTGGTCGCGTTGTTTTGATCCGGGTCCTCCGTGTGTGTCCCTCCACATTTATATTCGAAGTGCGTTTGAAGTGTTTGGCTGCTGTAAATGTCCGCACGGTGATAACTCCACTTCGCTCAGCTGTCGTTTGTGGGCAGTCGCTTCTGCAAAAGAGCTACACAGATCAGGGGCATTTACACCATTGGAACCTCATTTGCCAGTAAGAAATCTGATAATAGTTTTTTTACCCTTTTATCTGGCAACAAAACTGACACCTTTTTTTACAAGGAGTCATGTTGCATAGACCACAATACCTGCAGCCATAATGCAAACAAAAAACACAGCTCTGATAATATATGCACTGCCCTTGAAGTTGATTGGTCTTTAGAGCCTGGTTTAACACCAAAAGGCGTCCTCTGGTCTAACACCGTTTGAGACGAGGCTCTAAAGAAAGCTGTCTCTGGTGTGGACCAATCAGTTTCAAACACAATGCCATCATAGTCTACCAGAGCATGTGTTTGTGTATGCATGTTCACCACAATTATATGGGGTTAATGCAGGCAGGATTACTTGAAAATAAGTAATATTTAAAAATATATTTTTTAAACACGCTTTAATGAAATGTACCGTAACTATTTCGATTTAAAGCTTTCGTGACTGCAGGAATTCATCTTCTTGGTTCTTTCGGTAAGGCACGTAGAAGGGAAGTAATAAATAATAAAATAAAAATAATAAATAATTCTCACGACGTTTCGGCCACAACGCAAGCAGCCGTCCTCAGGTGACGCTGTCTCCCCGACGGACCTGGTCTTCACCTGAGGACGGCTGCTTGCGTTGTGGCCGAAACGTCGTGAGAATTATTTTATTATGTTCTATTTTTATTATTTTATTACTTCCCTTCTACGTGACTTTACCGAAAGAACCAAGAAGATGTACCGTAACTAGTAATGGCAGAACTGCACGACTCCAGGACGTGGCCCCGAGGCTTGCCACAACGTAAGGGGCAATGGCCAATTACATCCAACGTCAGTTGAGCTTGGACAATTAGACCCAAGCCGAAACATCTTCTAACCTATAAACGTCACTTTTTGTCTGTCCGTCTGTCCGTCTGTCCCTCTGCGTACGCTCGCTTTGGACGGATTTGGCGCTCAGGCCGTGGGGTTTAGGAAGAACTAATTTTGCAGGTGGGCACGCCCCCGGCCCCGCGGTGACCGTAGGCATTTCAGATTTTTCGTCCGTCGCCTTTACATCGGTCCGATTATCGATTTCGTCTGATTTATCTTTATTTATTTACTCTTTATTTATTTATTTACTATTACTCTTGCCGACCGGCGCTGACCACGGCGGTTGCCCCTGGCAACGGGTAGCGACGCTTTCGCTGCGGGGTGGACGCCATTTTTAATTCCCGTTAAAAATATGCGCACGCATTAACACGCGACGCTGAGGTAAATACATCAAAGTTTCACTTCCCCCCCACTGTGTGCACTTACTATTATAGGGTCGGTAGATAATATAATTATAGCGCTTATACAGTATTTTTGTAGCGCGGGGGGGGGGGGGGGGTGGTAGCGGCCCAGCCCCTAGCCTCAGCCGGGTGGCCCATCTAGGCGAGGCCGGAGGCTCTGCACGGCACTAGGCCTCCACACCCCACACGTGTCAGGAGAATACTTTTTGTGCTATAAACTCGATATACCCAGCGTTGCCCGGGGGGGAAATACATTTAAAATCTTCTGAAAACTTTAAAATATTACATACGAATGAAAATACACTGTGTAATAACATATAAAAAGATTGTTTAATTTTTTTTTTAATGACGCAATATAGTATTGTCATCAGTATGACATAAGTATACCAAGTTTGCAGTCGATACCACATTGGGAAGTGGGTTAAAATTGAGTTACAAGATTTGAGGATACGACAACAACAGACAGAGCGAGTGAAATAAAAGCGTGTAAAATAAAAAATAAAGGATTCTGTTTGATGTTTTAACATCTTAACACAACCTCTTTTATCGCCAGAAAGGTTAACACCTATTCTTATATGTCGATACTGGCAAGGGAGGTTCCCATAAAAACAAAGTAAGCAACTTTAAATAGCGATGAGTTTTTCAAGGGACCTCCTTGCCAGTACCAAAATATACTAATAGGGGTTTTCCCCTTTTTTCTGGCAACAAAACTGACACCTTTTGCAAGGAATCATGTTTACATTAACCACAATACTTGCAGTCAAATGCAAACAAAAAAACTGACACCTTTTGCAAGGAATCATGCTTACATTAACCACAATACTTGCAGTCAAATGCAAACAAAAACAATACTCTGATAATTTATGCATTGTCTTTGAAACTGATTGGTACTGGCAAAGGAGATCCCATGATGTAGCTGCTCACCCCGAGCTCTCATTACTCTGGTAGTGCGTTGTCTTTGAACTGTGCGCCTTTTGGCGTCATCTGGTCGAACACCAATATGAGACAAGGCTCTAAAGAAAGCTGTCTCTGGTGTGGACCAATCCGTTTCAAAGACAATGCATAAATTATCAGAGTATTGTTTTTGTTTGCATTTGACTGCAAGTATTGTGGTTAATGTAAGCATGATTCCTTGCAAAGGTGTCAGTTTTGTAGCCAGAAAAAAGGGGAAAAACCCTTGATGAGTTTTTTGTTAAAATCCAGCGCCCCCTTCCACCCCATCGTAGACTACCAGAGCATGTGTGTTTGTGTGTTTGCATGTTCATGTCTACTTCAGCAGTTTTGTCTTGCTGTGGTTGTCCCACCTGATGACGATTGCTTTGTGATGCGATCGAAACGTCACGATCTATTGTTTTTCTATCTGCGTGACTTTACCGAAAGAAGAGTAATATTGGTACTTTTA